ACCTGGATGACTGAGAATCTTCATGGATATTTCCCTTCAGGTGGTGATTCCCTCTGTTGAGAGGCCTATGCTGGATTTCCTTAACGACGGCGTGATTCGCTTAACCACTGCAGGAAATCCACTCAACAACCATGACCAAAAGTGGTAAAATTGGACGTGACTCGCCACTTAACTGCCTTGTCTGGCAACAAAAAAAAATCTGCTACTGATTGGTGTCATAAACCGAGGACTACCTGCACCTGTGTTCATAAGGCACGGTGTGGCCCAAGGGGCCCCAGTTCCTCTCCTACCCCAAGACTGGCCGCCTCCCACAACACCCTCCTGAGTATCAGCTTAAATTTGTCGTGTGAGGGTGGAGCCACTCACTTTGGGGTACCTGACCAGGCAAAGGAGAACAGGGACAATTGGAAAGGGCAACAGCTAGTCCCCGAACTTAGAACAATTTGTTTAGTGACCAAACTTGCAACGGCGCTGAAAAAAGGGACTTATGTCCGTTTTTCACACTTATGACTGTTCAAAATTAAGATGCTTGGCCACTGACCCCTATTTATGACGGTTGCAGCATCCCGGGGTCATGGCATAGCTTTTTACAACCTTCTGACAAGCGAAGTCCGTGGGAAAACCGGATTCACTTAGTAAGCGTGCAAGTCCCTTAGCAACGGCAGTGATTCATTTAACTCTGGCAAGAAAGTCATAAAATGCAATGATTCACTTAACTCTGGCAGGATAGGTCGTAAAATGAGGCAAAAATCCACTTAGCAACTGTTGCTTAGCAACGGAGATTTGGAGCTCAACGGTGGTCGTAAGTCGAGGACTACCTATGCAAAGAGGTTTGGATCGGAGGAGGTGGGGATGAAGGACCTGCTGTTTTTAAATTTCTTGTCAAATGATTGCAAGAAAATATACTTAGGGCCTACATGTATTCGTTTTAATTTTATTCGTATTAGTTTTTCCAACATCAGGAATGTGGTTTTTACAATATTTTTCCGAAACATCTTTTACTAGTTCAATACTTGTCTTTCACTACGAAACTATGTGATGGAGCTTAGTTTTGGGGGAGGAAAATAAGGGTAAAAAAATTCTGCCTCTGCCTACCAGCATCCGTTGGTATTCATCTGGCTAGCGTGTGTGTGAGAGAGTGGAAGGCTGTTTGGAAACTGAAACAGTATTTGCTGTGTGAGCAAGAAGGAGACAGCAAGGAGCCTGGGCGTGGCTTAGCTCAACTGTTCTGTACTAAAGCTGCTTGGTGCTCTGAAACTGAAACTCCTCTGCTTGTGTTTTGCATTTGGAAGAGATTTCTTTTCATGTGGGGAGGGGGAGTAGAACCCCTTAGCATCAGAGTATGTTAATAATAATAATAATAATATACAAAATACTAATGCTCTGATGGTTATTTCAAAAAATCCTTAGTGAGCACCTAAGCACATACGTGCTTTATGGCTTTACGGTTCTGGAGATTTTGTGATGATGCAAGAGTGTTATTTCGCTTTTATATATATAGATTTTCAAGATTGCACTAGCAATAATATTATCATCCACAATATGCTTCTCAGTTTCCCCATAGAAGCATATATGAGATTTGACAGTGATCTATAGATTTGAAGGAGCTGAACCGAATCCGCTTGCCGGAATCAGGAAATAGATAAATATCATTTGAAATGAAGAAGCAGACAATTTACAAGGTCGTAATAACTGTCCTGTTTAATGATGGAAAAGGTAGCTTTATAATCAGTCCTCAGACTTAATGGCCATGGCAGTGTCACATTATCGGAGAAATTGGCAATAAAATATGATTTGCCCTTATGAGAAGTTGTGGTTAACAACCTGCCATGATTTCTATTTGGTTTCTATTTTCATTTAGAAAATGTATATAACCGCCTACTCTCTCACAGTGAGTTTTAATGATGGCTTGCTTAATGACCGCGGCAGAACTCAGTCCGGGACATTCACTGAAAGACTGCTCAGCAACGGAAGTGCTGATCCCAATTGCGGTCGTGGACTGAGGACTACCTACGCTGCGATTTGAAAGCAGTCCAAAAACCGATCCAAGTCAGCACTCCAAAAGTTGGAAAATATTTGAATTTTAAGGCTCTGCCTGCCGGATGCTGGACAACAGGGACATGGGAAAACCCTGCACTAACTGGAATTACTTACTGCCGTTCTGCTACCAATTCCCTCCACCCACCCTTATACCCATCATCCTCTGCCTCCCCTTGCTTTCTGAAAGGCTCCTTAGCCATAACCTACCATAGGAGAAGGGACGCAGTGGCTCAGTTGGCTAAGACGCTGAGCTTGTCCATCAGAAAGGTCGGCAGTTCGGCAGTTCAAATCCCTAGCGCCACATCACGCCCGTTCCTTGTCCCATCTTCTGCCAACCTAGCGGTTGGAAAGCACGTCAAAATGCCAGTAGAAAAATAGGGATCCCTTTGGCGGGAAGGTCACAGTGTCCCGTGCACGGTTAGTCATGCTGGCCACATGACCACGGAGACGCCTTCAGGTAGCGCTGGCTCTTTGGCTTTGTAACGGAGATGAGCAGCGCCCACTAGAGCCGGAAAGGACTAACACGTATGTGCAAGGGGAACCTTTCCCTTAAACCACTTTTAGTCCTTGGGTTATGATCAGTATCGTTAATGACAGGACTGAATGCAGGGGACTTCAAACCAGTCCTCTGATGCAGGAGTCCCCAAACTGGGTGGCAGCCCATTACCAGACCACGGCCTAATCTCCACCAGGCAGCGTCAGTGGCCAGCCAATGCACCCCACGTCTGCATGTGTGCACAACGCGAGCATCACCGTGGACATTTGTGATCCCACTTGTGCGAGCCTCGGCACTCACAGCCCCTTTCGTGCGAGCGTCACTATAGACAGACCCTTGCAATCCCAGTCACACGAGCCTTGTTGTGGGTACTCGCAGCCCCTCTTGTGTGTGTCAAGCGTGTCAAGCGTCCAAGTACCGTGTTTCTCATATAATAAGGCCGGGTCTTTTTTTTTTTTGAGCCCCCCAAAAATGGCTAGGCCGTCTTTTCGGGGGTGACTTAATTCCCCCCCCCCTTGCATCTTCGGGCGGGCGGGCAGCGACGGCTTGGATGTTGACCTCGGGGTTGGTGGGGCACTTCGTATCGGGGTCAATGCAGGCAGCACCATATCCGGGTGTGCAACAAAAGTACTTCCTAACAGCAAGCCCCCCCGCCATTTCCCCCCCATTTCGCATGTTTTAATATAGGCCTTAATTTGGGGGGAGGGGCTTAATTTCATTTCATGCCTATAAAACATGCTGGGACTTCCTATTGGGGGAGGCCTTATTGTTGGAGAAACAGGGTAACATGTCCCCTGAAATAAAACCCAAGGCATCCTATCTTTCTTTAAAGTCTCTTTATTTGGAACGTATCAAATTGGCAAGGACTTGGTGTAATTCTGACTCTGGCTAGATCCCAGAATGACACCCCATCAAAAGCAAAAGTTTGAAACTTCCCCCCTCCCCCCAGAGTCACAATCTCCAATCAATCCTCAGTCCGGTGACCCCCAAACTCCACCTTCCTCCAGCTGCAGGGCATCTTCTCTGTTTCCACGGGAAAGGATGCCACCTAGACGTAACATTCACCCTTTATCTCTATCACCTCCCTTTCCACAGCTAGAGGGTGGCGAGCCTGAACTTTACCATTAAATTCCTTTGCGGAAAACCTAAAGAAAGCTAAGAAAAGAATAAACAAAGGCTACAAACGAAATACGGCACCTTCAGGGTCGACAGAGCGTAATTGCGGACACTTGCGATCCTACTCATGCCAACCTCAGGGGCGCTCGCAACCCCACTCCTATGCGCATCGCTATAGACTGAGTGCCAAAACAGGAGCGCGCACACGTGAGCGAGAGAGCGCCGGAAATCGGAAGAGCAGCTCCCTGGCACATGCCTATGGCAGCGCCGAAAACTGGAAGAGCAGCTGAGCTTCTAGTTTCCATCATGTGCATGCGCGCCAGCCACCTGGTCTTCTGGTTTTGAATGCACGCCAGAAACCAGAAGCTCAGCTTTGCAGCGCATGCATCCGTGTCGAGGAGCTGCTCTTCTGGGTTCCGGCACTCCCACGTGCACAAAGACGAGCTGGCTGGCACGCATATGTGCATGACAGAATCCCGGAAGAGCAACGGGCAACAGCTGGCGTACCCAGGCACGTGCGCCATAGGTTCACCATCGAGGCGATGGACACTCGCAATCCCGCTCACACGAGCATCATTGCAGCTCCCACTTGTGCAAACGTCACCATGGACCCTCGCGATCTCACTCACGTGAGCCTTGTGGGTGCTCACAGCCCCTCTCGCGGGAGCGTCACTATGGACCCTCGCGTGAGCCTCGCAGTGCTCACAGCCCCACTCGTGCGGGTGTCACTGTGGGTGCTCGGGGTTCCATTGTGCGAGTCTTGTCACGGGTGCTCGCGACCCCAGTTCAGAGGTGGTTATTCAGCAAGTTCTGACCAGTTCTGGAGAAACCGGTAGCGGAAATTTGGAGTAGTTCAGAGAACCGGCAAATCCCACCTCTGACTGGAGATTTTACAGCATCCTTCCCCTGCCACGCCCACCAAGCCACACTCACAGAACTGGTAGTAAAAAAAAATTGAATCCCACCACTGCTCCCCTCATGAATGTCGTGGGCACTCGCACGCCTGCATGCAAGCGCCTGGGTTTTGTGCCCCTCCCACAAAATAATCCCCTCTTTCCCCGTTCCCCCCACTCCAGGCTGCCAACCTGAAAAATTTGGGGAATTCTGCCCTAACGGCTCTTGCGGTACCCCTGGGTCAAGTGATTGTGACTCAGGGATGAGTGATGAGGTTGTAAAGCACTTTTGTCAGCTTCACACTCGGTAGTTGAAGAGTTTATACTGACAAACCACAGTACTACTCACAATTCAAAGATGTAGTAACTGGAGTTTATTTCTTCAGCCCGTCTCACGACAATCACCAAAAAGCAACATTGGGACAATTCCAAATAAAGAAAATGCTGAGAGCTCAAATCTTCCTTGCGGGAAGGGGAAAAAAAAGAACTCCGGAGTCCATGATTTCTTTCTGGTACTTAAATTTACCTTTCTGGAATGTGCTTCTTTCCCAAACAACATGCACAGGTAGGAGTTTTCATTTATTTAGGGGTTTTTTTGGCAAGGAGAAACTTTCCTCGGATCTCTGCAAAATGTGCACTCCGTGTCTAGTGCCCGAGACTAAGCCACGGGTTGATTC